AGAAGTAAGTTGAAGGCAGTCTCCAGCCCCTCGGGAATGCTACAATTAATTGCTTCAAGGTGGTGAAACCTTGTCTCTGTCACACTGGGCTGCTTGACCCCTCTCTGGAGTCAAAACCATGTTAGAAAATTTATGTTCTCTCTCTAGTCAGACCGGGATAGGGCCACTCCATGGCATCCATCTTTTTCACACTGGGATTCTGTGGAGTCCTCAGGATGAAGATGCAGGGTCTTCAAACTTGGCCATCTTCTCAAGGACCTGGACCGCAGTGAGCTGCCCCATGCCAATCTTGCAGTGCCCCTTGCACTGTCAAATGCCACATCTGGTACCTCTTCTTCATCACCTTAACAGCAGCATGAACTAAATGAAGCCTCTGAGGAGAAGATCCGTGGTCCCTGCCATCGTGCTCATGTTGCCCCTGGTGGTGTTTAATATTGAACAAAAGTCACAATAGGAAGTTCTAAGGTGGGAAAGTGGGTGCTCCAAGCTAGAAGGAGATATGGATATGTTTCCCACAAAATTCAGCAGCTGGTATAACATTGCTAATGGGGGTGATGTATTCGTAGATATTTTGACAGCTTCTCAAGGCAATCTGATTTCAATTGCAATTGCACAATCGCCTTTTACTTTCCACTAATGTTTGTGCAAGGCCTTTATTGTTCCTAGGAGCAGTATTGCGAAGGAACTTTGACACACCCACCTCTGGGAAGCTTGCTCCTAAAATGAAATAAGCAAAATAAAATGAATCTATATTTCATTTGGAAGCCCCAAATGATTTATAAGATGAACCAACTTGTCAGGGACAGTCAGAACGGGCAAGTAATATGTCATGTCTGAGATGGTGGATTACACGATTCAGCTGCTTGACTGAAACCCTCAACTATGCAGGAAAACACAGCTCTGGCGCCTGTTTAGGCAAGACATTAATTGAATAAGTCCAGAAATTCACACTGTATATACTCTGTCCTCACAGTGAGCTGAGCCATGTGTTCATTCAATTTTCTTGGAGATGTGGCTTTGATTCACACAGAGGCGTTGAAATAACCCAGCAGCCTGAGAGAGGAGCAGCAAAGCCCTGCAGGCCAGAAGGGACACAGACCCTGGGAAGTCCAAAGGACTGATGGCAGTTCTTGTCAGTTTATTTCTGAAACAAGGCTCTGAAGAATTTTGCTTGGTCCTTTTGTGAGCTACCTGAGTGTCATGTGTTTTTGACAAGATGACCTATTTGATGTAACACTGTGCTTCTCTGGGAAGCCACACCAGGATGTTATTTTCCATACCTTCTCTTTGGCCCTTGTACATTTGCGTCCATGCTTGTAATATACTTTGTGTTCCAGTCTTCTCTTGCATGTCTACCACAGATCCTTGTTTCTACACTCTCACATAATCTATTTAAAGGGTGATATTTTTAGCTTTTAAGAGCAGTGTTAACAAGGATCAGATGCTGCCATCACTTAGGAAAGAGCAAGCTTTCCTTTGCCAGTTGTACTATGCACCGTTAAAAAAAAACATAAAATCCATCAGCGTGGACATTACAGTGAGGTTCTTGTATTTAGCAGGTGAAAAGCCAACACTCGACCTGTAGTGAGATTTGCTCATGGAAAACCCCTGGAAGCTGTTTTTAGCAGCACGGCGTTAGTCACCCCTGGAAGGCTGCTGGCTGCTCTGTGCCGCTGGCTCGCGCTGTGCCATGCCACACCACGTGCGAGCAGCGCCCTGGGTGCTGCACGGCGCCAACAGCCACTCCCGCCTCGCCACAGGTGCTGGGCTTAAGTGCACAGCTCCTGCTTATTTTAGGAAAACATGAGCTCACATTCCAGACTGCCTTCTTGGCAGCCAGGAGGTGTGGGCTGTGGTCCTTCCCTGCTCTGGGGGGCCAGGAGGGGTAAGGCTCCACATGGGCAAGGAGCGCGTGGTGGGATTTCTGTCGAACAGGTCTGGGGACAGGGGGTGGTCAGGAGACAAGGCAAGGGAGGAAGGGCTGAGAAAGGGATGTTTTCCACATCACATGGAGACCAGGCAAAGAGGAGACAGCAGAGCAGTGAAATCACAGAGAGAGGTTTGAGCATTGGAATCTGTTAGATCATCAGAAATAGTGGGTTAAGTCATGCTGCACGAAGTTAAAGGCAACTCCTAAAAAAACTAAGGGAAAATACAGGTGATGAAGGAAGTAGTCAGTTTAATAGACTGGAAATCTGGCTTGCCTGCAGGGATGCCACCTCAGAGCAACGACTCTTCCTGGGATAAAGAAAGGCAGCTGCTGCCTGCTCCATGGTTACTCATCCTCTCCTATCTCCAGTTCCCCCTGATCTCCAGCACAGCTGGGCCAGCCAGGGAGGGGACTCTGGCTCAGTGCCCCAAGGGGAGTGCCAGATTTGTCTGGCTAGTGGAGGAGAGGGAGGAAAGCCCCAGTGAGGATGGCACTGTGCACGATGTGCAGGCATGGGGATGTGCTTTGGCACGAGTTAGCAGAGATTCAGCCAGGTCCCTTCTCCCTGACCAGCCAGCCCTTTCCTTCCTCTGCAGCTGAGACAGGGATCTGCAGAGAATAAAGGCTGCTAATACACAGTGCCATTGCTTTATAAGGAAATGTCTTGAAATAATACAGCTTTTGCTGATGTCCTTATTTTTTGACAGCCTAAGAGTGTGTGGACCTTGAACTGGATAAACAGTGTTGGGAACACTTTTTTTGATGGAGAGTATTAAACAAATATGAAAGTGTTAGAAAAGATAGAGCATTTCATTTAGACACGTTGAAACACTTTGATGTTTCGTTTGGTGAATTTTCAGAGCCTGGATACCCTTCATTCAAAATACCTGGAAAATAAAACATGAAAAGTGAACAGAAAAAAAAGGATTGAACTGAGGGTCTTGTTTGAAACAAGGTTGTTGGGAGAGAAACACTGGCTGTCTCAGCTGCTAAATTATCCCTTCAGTTTTTCTTCTAAGACTCTCCTGGAGCAATGGAACAGTGGGCTCTTAAATCTTGATGGGGGATCCTCCTGGTGCAGGGAAAGCTCCTGGATGGTCCCAAGATGAGCAGGTTGCTCAAGAGAGGTTTAGTTGTGTTTTAACCAAGCAGGTCTCTGTGCATAGGGCCGAAAGCATGTGGGAAGGCACAAAGCAGCTGAGAAACTCTCTCCTCTGTTTCCATTTTGTGGCTTCTGCAATAACCTCTCCAAGGAACCTTATAAACCTCTAAGTAGTGGGGTTTTTAAAACACTGCAGTTATGGTAATAGTTTAGTTCTGCCTCCTTTGTTATGTGTTAATGGTGTCCTTCTTTAGGTCTACTAATAAAAGGAACCGAAACCTCAGTGTGAAAGTCCTTGTAAAGTTACAAATCAAACACATTTGTGCTGGTTCTCCCCGATATACAAGACACTGGGTGGCTGCTGCATCGGGGGTGGGTGTCAGACCTTTGCCAGATCAGCTCTGCATTCAGGATCACCACCTCTACCTACAGGGCAGAGCTGGAAAGGAGTGCTTTACACAGCAAAAGGTCTCTTAAATGAGAGGGGAAGGGGTGGGAAACTTCAGACAAATTAGAGATAATGAAGAATATCACATCTACAATCTGGATAGAATGATTCATAATCTGTATTGAACACTTTGTTCATCTCTTTAATATAACTTTTAAATCAACTTAGTGGAATAAATTCATGTAGAATTTATCTTCCTGCAAGTGAATTATGCAGGCTTTTTCACAGGTCTATGGAAAACTCTCAGTTACAGCCTTTAATTCTCTATACTGCCATTTTAAAAAGTAGGAAAAGAGGGATATTTCTGATTTTCCCAGACTGTCCAGGGTGTCACCTACATACTGTGCAGACAGCCCAGTCCTCAAGGCACTAGAGTCCTGCTGCCTTTGTAAGGAGGTGATGAGTGCATGTAGATTGGTAGAGTCTGGGCATTTTTGGAGAAAGCTACAGTTCACATGACATCTTGAGAAATCTCCTAGCTTTATATTTCCTATAGTTTCTGTGAGCAATTGCCTACTGGGAAAATTAATGAAAGAAAAATCTATAGGTGAGTGGGAAGTGTGGGCTGATTTGTGGAGAAAAGTACAGTGGAAAAAAGAATAAGGCTGAATTTAGACAGATCTAGAAAATACAAAACTGATGCCAACTCCTTCTTTCCTATTGCCAAGACAGTATGATTTTATAAATAGAAGGAGTGAAGGTTTCTGTAGGTCATTAAGAGGTGGCAGTTTGGCTCACCTAACCTTGTCTTTATGTGCTTTTGTGCAAAAGCAAGGACTGTCCCCTGTGAACACCATCAAGGTCAACTCTACTTGTCACTAAGTGCCCTCAGAAAAGATGAAGCTATCTCAAGATAACTTTTTAAGACAGACAGGATCTTGCTGTGGAGATCCTTGGAGCTTCTGAGAGCTGACAGGTTTCCATGTGGTGTCCCCTTGGGAGCAGATAAAGTAGGGGTGGTCTCAGTTTTTGTATTCATGGATGGGAGATCAGTTTTGACCCCGATGATGTTCCAAACCCTCAGGAAACATTAAAGTAGAGGTGCTCATGCTGGTGTTCTGGGATGACAGGGCTTGAGTCTGGTATGAAGTCCTTCTTTGTGCAACACACTGTGTGGCAGCCCTGGGGACCTGCTGTTTTATGTGCTTGGGTATGATGAGGTATGTGTTCCCAAGGACGAGCCAGGAAAAAGCAGTTGGACACTTGCAACTGGCTTTAGGGCCAAATCCAACCCATCAGTCCTCATCTGAGCCATGCTGGTGAAGCTGGTGTGAGGTCATAAACCTGGTTCCTCTCTGAGATGGAAAGGATGTGCCCTCCTGGACCATGAAATGAGCTGCTGGAGGCAGAACCCAGTTCCCATGTATGCTGTGCTTTTCTTAGAGTGGCAGAAGGAATTAAAACTTCCAAAAATGGGACAGAAATATATAAAAAAGAGAAATTATTTTTGTAGTTGGGAAAAACCAGAGAAGAGAGAGACCTTGAATGGATCTTTATTTTTGCTGCCAGTGGTCCCAGGTTGAAGGCAGGATCCTTATTTATACACCCATCTGGTTTCTACCACAGGATACAGAAGCTAGCAGGTTTCCACCAGGAGGGTTAGATTCTGTTAAAGCAGCATTTTCTGCCAGAACATTTTGGGCTAACTTTGGGCATGAACGTGAAAGGCTCTGACAGCCGTGCTATGGCCACTCCATCCATTACCAGCACAGAGGCTCTGGAGAGGCAGGAGGGGCTGAAGGCACAGCCCCTGCCCTCGGTGCTGATGCTGAGCAGGGGCTGCCCTGGCTGCAGCTCCAAAAGGCTGCGCTGGGGAAGCCCTGGGTGCCTGCAGGGAGATGGGGCTGAGCAGAGCAGTGGTGGCCGCAGCAGTGGTGGCTGCATCTGCCCACGCAGGGCCTGCTCCCCTGGGCCAGCCACCCCTATTCTGACTTTCAGCCTTGCTCTAATCCGATTGATGGAGTGGCCAGAGATGCTGACGGGATTAGAGCTCAGCAGAATGACGAAGCACTTGGGATTTGCCTTCGTGCGGATCCCCGCAGCGCAGCAAAGGGAAATGGCTGCTTCTGATTTACAAGCTGCAAGAACTGTGCACTGAGGTGGAGGGATTGCTCCACAGTCTGTAGCCACAGCTTGGCCTGGCATGTTTCTGATGGTGTCTAACATGTTGTGCGTGGTCCCAGGCATTGGGATATCATTGTGGAGCCAGAGGGTGTTGGGCTCTGCTTCCCATGGGACCTGGCAGATGCCAGCTCTGTGGGCGCCTCTCCTCTCCCCCAACCAGGTGAGAACTGACAGAATTGCTCTTGGGGTGCCCAGCTTCGAGGGGATGATGGTCTGGCCTCCTCGGCAGGTATGAATCACCCAGTGCTCACTGACTGCAAGGTGGATTTGCATCATTTATGATTTTCATTCACTGCCCTTAAAAAAGACTCCTTTTATTTTCCCTGCGTGGTAAAAAAAAAAAAAAAAAAAAAAGGAAATTTAAAGCAAAGCATTTCTACACATCCTGATTGCTTTGTTTAGGGGGACTGTGTCTCTAAAGGCCCCAGGCTGAAGCACCGGTGCTCCTAACAGAGTAAATTGCAAGTACATCGCAGCAATCATCCCTGCCGCTTTCACAGGGACCGAGCCCTCCCTCTTGAGTGAGCCTCCGATTTTAAGCCCTGAAAGAGCAGCTTGACACCCTGTGACCTGCCTGGTAATGTTCCTAATCCACCTCTTTACAATCCACGATCCCGAGGGGGTGTTTGGGCAGCGGGGGAGGATGGCGAGCGCGGCAGGCAGCATATCCAGCCTCGCCTTGTGCCGTGCTTGCGGGAAGCTGATGGAGGTGGTCACAGGCTAAGTGGATTAAACCGGGGAACGTCAGCTCAAAAATAGGAGCTGCAGCCTGACATAAAGATCCTGAGAAGTGAGAGGATTTGCTGGCGACCGGCGCCAGGCCCCCAGAGGAAGTGAGGGAGGGTCGGGTCTCGCCGGAATTTCCTCTGCTGGCTGCGGACACGGTCTGGAGGTGCCCGGGGGATGCTCGGGGGATGGCTCTGCCTGGCTCCGAGCCCTGCAGCTTACACCGCCCCTGCGAGATGCGCCTGGTGAAGCAAGATCAAAACAAGGTCCTGCGGGGACTGGCTGCTCCCTCCTCCTCGCCCTGCCCTGCTCTGAGCCCACCACGTACCTGGGCTTGGCTGGGCATGGCAGTGCCCCACTCCAAACCCTCTTCCAGGAGGGTAACAACACCTGGAGTTAAAAAAAAGATGGAGACACATTAATAAAAAAACCACTAAAACTAAAAACCAAAAAACCCCACCCCATTACAATAAGGAAAAGTAGCACTTAGAAATACAAATAAAGTAATAAGAATTAGCCCCCCCTGTCGTTGTGCTTCCCCAAACTTTTTACTTTTTCTTTTCTTCATGCAGAGAATGATGTTTTTCGTGGCGGTGGCTGGTTTTACTTTCTTTCTTGTGCATTTCCACAAGGGCATTTCCAGGCTTTGCTGATCATAGCAATATCCAAGCTAATGACAGTTCTTGCTCCTCTATAATATCTGACATTTTTTGACTGCTCCTTTTGCACTTCATCCCATTTTTTTGCTTCACATAGAGCAATGTTAAACCTGTGTTTAAAAAGTAGTTGCCCTTGCAATCTGAAATGTGTGTGGACTGACTGTTGGATAACTCAAATGCAGCTCCCTGGTGTGTTGACCAAATAGTAAAAAATTGAAACTCTTTTAAAAAAACCCCAAAAAGTTCTTTGACCCAATACAATATTATTAATGATTTTCAATCTGAAGCTACTAAATAGGGAAGATGGACAAATTAAAGCATGATGTGAGGGGTAGTGACTATTTCAGGCTTAATATTACTATGATAACAAACATATCTTGCTTTATATAATTTTCCTAGAATTAAGAACCCAAAGGAAGCCCTGTTGGGTTTCACACTCATAGGCTCTGAGCTAAAAACCAGCGGCTCTGTTCCCCCATCTGTCTTTCAGCCTTTGGAAAGGTTAGTTTTGTCTCTTTGTCCTAATACTGCAAGAGTTAACAGCTTAGGGATGGAAACATGTCTGAAAGTCTCCAGGAAGATAATACTTGGGAAGACAGGTTTAAGCTAAATAAGAAAGCAGATTTCATCGGCCTTCTTGGAAACAACCTGTCCAGAGACTTGTGATCGGTTTCTAAATTTGGCCTTTGCATTTTCCACGTACAGGAAGTGATGAAAACGGCAGCAGTAATCCCTGGGGAGTTTGGACACGCACATCAGAGGCTGAATGCCTTTGTTTGTTTAGGACCGCTGTCAGTTGGGTGTTGTAAACACGACTCATGACAAGTTTAATTAAGACAAAAAACATGGGAAATGTAGAGGAAGGTCACGCATCTTTCTTCACAGCTTTGGCAGCTGAAGATTTTTCTGAGAGATTTGAATGTGCTGCACCAGCACAAATATAAATACAGGTTTTATACAGATTTTCTTTCCCTAAATTATTTTTACCTTTGTTTTTTGGATGGTGCTAAAACAGTCTGAATGGAAGAAACCTGACCTAATGCATAAGCACATTAACTTGTGGCAAGCCAAACTGCAGCTGATGAAAATAAAAGATGTGGTGAACATATGATAAAACTCCTAGTCAATTTGGTCCTGCCCCAACAATGAAAAATTTACTCCTGGATGAATTTGACTGAATGTATTAGACCCTCAAATACACACTTGTCAATGCAGAACCTGCCTGTTTATCAGATTTTCAAATACACATTTGGTGTTCAGATGAGTACACTTGCTGATGGAGCAAGAATTTGTTCCAGACTAAGATTCACGTCTTTGCAGATGTTGTGTGGAGCCTCAGATTTTGGTTCAGACAAGTTTCTTCCTAAAATAGCTTATATGGAGAACAAAATAGTCCTTATGATTTGGGAGCTACAGTGTTCTTGAAGAGATGGTGATGAGACCCTTTTTTGCAGAGTGGATAAAAAATTCAGATGATGGGCATTGACCTCAAGTTTTGTTCATGGAGGCACTTCAGGGAACTTCTGGCCTATTCAAAAATCTCAGTGGTGCCCAGTCACAGCATGGTGCTTAATGTCTTGCAAATAACAACATATGTTGGGATGATCTGCCTTAACACTGGCTGCTTGAAAGCTGAAGGTCCAGTTAAGTTTGTCAGTTGCACTCTTCCTCTTAAAAAAATGAGAAAAAGAGACAGGTAGGAATATCTAGCAGGAATTGATCCCATGTCTGCAGTAAGTGCCTATTTCTAACCAGTGAAGCCAGACAAGGGAGCCCTGGTGATTAGCTGAGACTGCCAACCTAACTTCATTAAATTAAATTAATCCCAGCCTCAGAGACAGGAATACTTCTGCCAAAACACTCCTTCACATGCAGGACTTGTAAAAGCATGCTTCTCCAGGACTTTAGGCAAGTTTGTAACAAATTTCAAAAGTATATTATCAAATGAAATTCTTTTGAGGGTTTTGAGGTCCAAGAAGAGCAGATTCATACTGGTGTGGGCAAAACGCTCTAGGCATGTGAAATAGGTTAGCTGGGAAAGATTTAAAAATGTAAGATATTTAGGTTAACACAGCCTCTCCATTTTCCCTAGAACTTGTTCTTTTAGATGCTCCAGAAGCATTTGAAAACTCCCTGGCCAAATTAAAAAGATTAAATTTATGAAACTGGGAAAGTGAAGTTTGGATTCTGAAGAAAGTTTTAAGTCACAGGACTTGCAGAGTCTATGCCAGGATTTAGAAGTATTTTAAAATGCATCTAGATGAAAACTTCCAAGTAATTACACAAATAATGCCAATATGTCTTTGAAAATTTATCCCCCCAATATCTGCCTTCTCATTCCCTTTAATACAAGCAGCAAAAAACCAAGTAATTTCAGATTGTCTGCTTGCCTCCATCATTAAAACATCCCATTCACATAAAGCAAATATTTACATTTGAGTGAAGGTTTTGCATAGCTTACTGTCCAAAATGTATGTTTTAGATCATTGTGGTTATGTGGATGGATGGATTTATCAAAGGTTTCTCAATTCCTTTCCTTTCCTTTCCTTTCCTTTCCTTTCCTTTCCTTTCCTTTCCTTTCCTTTCCTTTCCTTTCCTTTCCTTTCCTATTCATGCTAAGTGTGTTTGCAGACCAGAAATGCATGCACAGTGTGAATTTCTGGAAAAACTAATGGTGGGCAATTTTACCATCATTTCAAAATCCTGAATGCTCTGTTTTTCAGGGACGAGCCTGGAAAGGCTCGTTATTTACAGGGACAGGAAAACATTGCAGACATAGAAAATGAAGCCCCACTCTGTTGTGCAAAATTCCTGTGAATGCATAAAGGCTCTGAAAATCAGCGATGGGGAAAGGCCCTTCCTCTGGGAGCAACACGGGCAGCAAGAGTGGATGCTCCCAGCCATTGCAAAATGAGGGTACATGTCAGTAATATCCTCCAGTCGCCCCTGCTGCAAGCTGTTGCACTGGGAACACTGCAGTGGGATTAAACAATTCTCTGGGATGGATTAACCAAGGCATGGCTGCAGCCCTGTGCAGATCCCTCGGCTGGGTTGGTGTTCCTGCCCTTTGTGCACCACGGCTCCACAGCAGCTGTTGTCAGCCAGGCTTTGCTCCCCGGGCACAGCATTTTAGCACCAATGAAGATTTATGGACCTGGGTGGGTTTGTTGAAGTCCTGTGTCCCTGTCTGGCTTGGGATGTGTGGCAGGAAGCTCAGCATCCTGCAGGGTCCTGTCCCAACAGCCTGGCTGCAGCAAGTGAGCTGACCAGCAATGACTCATTAGCCTAATCAACTTGAGTATCCTATGCACTCCTCTCAAAGCTCCTGCAAAACACAGAGTTAAAGGGCAGATGAGCCCTCTAATGAAAGGGGAAGTATTGTATTTTACAACCAGATTTGAGAAAAATCCTATTCATAGCTCTTCTGGGACCATAATGGCTTCTGCAACATGTTTTGTCTTGAAAGCTGAACCAAGGATGCAAGTTAGAATGACATGACTTCTGTGGAATCTTCATTTGCAAGAGGCAGAAGGGAGAAATGTGTATAATCAAAAAAAGAAATAAAATTATTCAAATATCAAGGCAAAAATGCAGAAGTAGATTTGGTTTCACTCCTTATTTTTTTTTAAGTGACTATGTGTATGGTTTTGTTTGTTTCTTTGTTTAGGTTTATTTTATTTTTTTTTTCAGTAGGATAGGCCATTTAAGGATAAGAAGAAATTCTGGATGATCAAAAGAATGAATTCTCAGATCAGAATGGTACCACCAGTGGCTCTGGTCAGATTGGTGTGCATTTCATTCTCCTGTGCATTTAATTAAAGTGGAATAGTAATAACTAATAAAGAAAGGACTCTGAGGCTCCTGCTGAGTCAGCTGAGGCAAAACTCCACTTTTAGGTAAGGAAATTTTACCCGAGTAAGAGCTCAACATAGACTATAAAATCTGGTCATGAAATCCCCAGCTAAGCTGGTAAGAAACCAAAATCCTTCAGACAGACAAGTAAAATAGGATTTCCATCCTCCATGGTTATTCACATCCTACTAATGAGCTCTGGCATCTGTGGCAGAATAGTTAGGGGGGTATTGATCTCCTGCAAAATTTGGTGTGTAACAGTGATTTGCAGACATATAGAGAATATTGAATCCTTCTCCCTTGTTATTTCCCTGTGGGCTGATCAGTTGGGCAGTCCTGGAAAGGCAGATGGCATTTCCATTTCTCCTTTTCATCCATCAAGTGGTTATTTGATGGTCCATCCAATCAGTATGACTGAGTTTTTTTTCTCCCTTTTCATAAAAAATGTTATTGAATGTTGGTATTTGACACAGTCATATATTATAAAGCAAAGGTTTAATGAAGGGAACTGGTTATAAACAGGCCCTTGATCCTGAGTAGAATGAAAGCAATTTCTTTTTTGGTAGTTTTAAAAATAGCCAGTGCTGTTCAACGTATTTGTATTTCAATACAAATTTTTCCTGCTCTTTTAAATGTCACTGCCTGCTCTGTTGAGAGTGTTACAACCTGCATCTGCAGGCAGGACTGTGTGGCATTTTTCCAAGAAGAACAGTCCTGAGCACACCTGTACCACATTTCCCAGTGGGAGTTAGATGTGATCTTACCAGCTGATGGCACGTTCAGCCAGAGCAGGGAGCAAACTCCAGGGCACCATTTCAGATCCAGCATTTCTGCCTGACCCATCAGGGTCAGATCCTCCCAGGAGACTCCCTTGGGATGATCTCACACACATCTTAGAAGAAAATTGTGTTGTCCTCGGGAAAAACCACTGCTGTCTTTTCCTTGTGCCGTTGCAATCTGGAGCAGGGAACTGGATTCAGTGAGCTTGTGTTGTACGCCTGACCTCTTCCCCTTCTTTGGAAATGCTACCCAAATTTGGCTGAGCAGTAAATGTCTATTTAAAAAAAATCCATCCCTACACGATTCATGGAGACTTCTGACTCCAGAGCAGGGTTTCAGCAGTAAAGATGAAGAACGAGACCACGTGCTGGAGAAGAAAACAAGATATTGAATAGCTGCTCATTAATCAAGTGCTGGGAACAGGGTGAGAGGGGTATGGTGGTAAAATGTAGCAGGCAATTCTTACAATTAAAGGCAGTTTCAGGATGCAAATGTAGAGAGGGAGGTGGGGGAGTGAAGTGATATTACACAAGCAACCTTAATTTACATATGCCTTACTTCTGGAGTGCTCAACTTGGCAATTCTGCTGCTGCTCTATGGGCACAAGAGTGGGGGTTTTTTTCCTGTTGTACAGAGTGTTTTGCTGCCTTTCTGTTCCCTGTACTTCTCTGGCTTTAAAAGATGTGGAATATTTGTGACTGCCTTGTGCTGTGATGATGTGATTGCAGAGCTCTTTTCAGCTCAGTGGAAGAAATGAAAGGTTGGGCTCACTGCGAGCAGTTGCTAAGAAAGCAAGCAAGCAAGCCTATTTTAAGCTGTTCTACAGAAGCACATACTGCCTTGATTGGTTATTGATTCCAGTTTCATTATGGAGAAAGCACATTTTTAGCCACAAACATGGGCAGCCACATGTTGAGCTGCAAGTATGAGAACTGTAAGGCTCTGCTGCAGGCTGCACTGAGCCAAAGCATCTAAAAAAGCTGAGGACCCACATTTCCCACTCTAGCAAATGGCACCAGTCTCTTGAGAAAAGTTTTCTTGGCTTCTTTAGCTATATTGAGCTTTGGATTCAATTCAGTTAGGAGTCGGCTGTGACTTGGATCTTGCAGGCTGTCCCTAGACTGGCAGATGAAACAAAGCCTCGGACTGTTTTGAGCACTAGAGCGTGACTGTCTATTCTGCAAAACTCTTGGACTGGCCCAGGGAGTGGTGGAGTCTGCACGAATTACTGCCTTCCCCAAGAGTGCCGAGACATGCGAGCCTTTGAGAAGGTGCTGCTGCAGGCCCTCCTGTGCAGGATGGCTTTGGTGTCAGACAGTGTGCATGGGCACGTTCAGTGCTCTAGGTGGTGGTGGGCACACTCACATGAAGAAAGGACTCTGTGTATATACATAAATATGGGCAGCCTCGCTTCCCAGGAATACACAGCGAGGCAATGCCTTACAAATCTGTGTGGATTTCAGTAGGTGCACGAAGGGAGCAAACTGGTACAAGCTGCCTTGGAGTGCATGGAAAGAAGAGGTGTTGGGGCTGCTTTTACCCCAGCTGAGACAAACTGGAGGTTTGTGGCAATTCGGCATTAGCCAAGGGCAGGAAGAATTCAGGCACAGAACAGGAACAAGCCTGAGGACACTGGGCTTTTGATATACCCTTTCTTCAGAGCTGTGCCAGTTCAGTCATTAGTTGAGAATAAATAACAACAAAGTACCTCCCTGAATCAATGTTTGTAAGAACAGAGCCCAAGGTCAGGCACATTTTAAAAGGACACTTTTTCCCCCAAAGAAAGCCAGAGTCTGTGAAAATAAAAGACTTGGAAACTGTTAGCTATTTCCTGAAGGCTTTTCTCATTCCTTCTCATGCAAGTTAACGTGTGCTTTGCCTGGATGGAAGTGGGTATTTTTTTTTTCAGAAGTATTGGAGATATCTTATTTTCCTTTTGAAGAAAGGTTCCAGACCCTGCAAAATTTCTCAGTTTCATGGCCTGAAAGAACTGAAATGTGGTCACTTTTGTGGGCTGCCAAAGTCGTCTGTTTGTGCCTTTTTTCAGAGGATGTTTGAGACAGACACCCCACAACAATGAGAGAAGAGAGGAGTCTTCTCAGTTCCTGTTGGCACTGGACTGCTACTGAGACAGTTGTTTCTGAATTTCCTATACTGACCTATAGATCTAAACGATTATCCATCCAAATTCTGATAATCCATTTGTCATCAGCAGGACTCTGGACAAGGTCTGCAGTGACAATTGTCTGGCCTGAAGACCCAGGTTTTCCTTTTGAGGTTGGCAGGAAAAAGAGCAGGTTACTGCTAGAAATTTTTCCTATTTAGGACTGAGTTATGGTCGAAATGCATGTCTTGATTCATATTTCACCAGTGTAAACCAGTCCCATCTCTCATTAATGTTTTCTTAATATTTGACCTGTTGATCAATCTTCCTCTTTGGTTCAATGAATATTTAATCATGTATGTGAAATCAAACAACTTCAAAATGAGAGATTTGGAGCCATTCTCCCCAGCCACAGCACACAGCTCTGTAATGACCAATAGAGGTATCAGAAATGTGTCAAGCCTCTGCTCTGACTCAACTCAAAAGTTTGAGCATGGACTTTTCTCACACTCTTTGCAGGGTCCCAAGCAAAGGAAGATCTTTTCTTGGTCTCGCCTTGTGGTTTCAGTCTAACCAGCTGCATTTTGATGACTGTCTCTATGTTTCTCAGTCAGGACTCGAACCTGGCCTCCCAGGTGACAGGCTAGTTTGGAGCCCTGTTGCTCAGTGCTCTTCCCCAGGACAGGAGAGAGATTTGGTTTGGAGTGTTAGTTGAAGTGACTGAAGCAGAGCCAGGAGCTGAGAAGTACGGATGGATTCCAGAACCTCTGTTCTTTCCTGGTCCTTGGAAGAGCAGGGAATGTACCTGGCATGCTCAGCTCCCCTCAGGCCTTGTATGAGGGTACCCTGATTTCTGGTCTGAGGACTGACAGTTCTCTAGGCAGCAGTGGGATGAGGAAGAGCATGGAATTGCAGTGCTAGCATGGACATGGGGGCTTGTTCCTTGGTATCTGGCCTTGGCTGTATGTTGGTTAATTCTACACTCAAACACATCTGTGTTCTGGGGTCCTCTTTCTCTTGAAGCAGTAAGAGGGTAGATTTTATATCAGGAATATGATACCATTTAGTAATGAGATAGAACAACTTTCTTGCACCATGCCGATCACCATAAATAAAGGAATTCAGACCATTGTTTTTGTTTTGAATGTACCATAACTATGACTTCTAGAAGTGCTTCATTTATGTGGAAAACAGGATCAAATTTAACATCTCATGTTACTCAATACTTCTCTAGCTGAAAATAAATTTCTGAAAGTAAGCCAAGACCACATCAAAATCATATCAAACCATGTCCATTTCTGCTTAATGATGCATCTTTGTATAGATCAGTTAGCACAGGCACTTATTCATTCATCCTTTCAGTAACCACTCAACCTGAAAAATATAACTGACATTTAAATGGTGCAGGAGGAGAGACAGGCAGGTTAGCCAGGCTGGAGATAGGGCCAGCAATTTCACAGTGTAACAGGAAGGCTCTCAAACACCCTATGAATTAATTGAGGCTGAGCTAGAAGACATGGATTTTGCTAAGGTTAATAACAGCTGACAGCTTGACCTATTCCTGCAGTTTACTGTACCAGCATCAGTCCTAGGCTTTGCTTATCTTCTCTCTCTGTCTAAGGAGGGTGATGAGTTGAATATCCATGGGTAAGAATCAGGGGGGGATGCCAACAAGGCAGGTATCCTGGTGGGAGTCTCTTACAGACCACCTGACAAGGGTGAAAAGGCAGGTGAAATATTCTGTAAGCAGCGGTGAGAAGTCTCACAATCTCTGGCCCTTGTTCTTGTGGAGGACTTTAACTCATCAGACATCTGCTGGAAATCCAGCACAGCAGACAGAACACAGTCCAGGAGGTTCCTGGAGTGTGTGGAAGATAACTTGGTGACAGAGCTGGTGGGAGAGCCAGCAAGGAGCGGTGTCCCCCTGGACCTGCACTTTGTGAGCAGAGAAGGGCTGGTAGGGGATGTGATGGTCACTGTGAGGCAGCCTGGGAAACAGTGACCAAGGAATGACACAGGTTTTGGTTCTTGGGAAAGTAAGGAAGGTGGCCAGCAGAACTGCAGCCCTGGACTTCTGGAGGGCTGACTTAGGCCTGTTTAGGACACTGGTTGAGAGAGTTCCTGGGGAGGCAAGCCTGAGGGGAAAAGGGGTCCAGGAGGGCTGGACATTTTTCAAGAAGGAAATCTTAAAAGTGCAGGAGCAGGCTGTCCCTGTATGCTCAAAGATGAGTCAGTGGGGAAGAAGAAGCTTGGATGAAAAGAGAGCTTTGGCTGAAACTCAGGAAAAAAATGGGGAGTTTATGACCTTTGGAAGAAGGGGCAGGCAATTCAGGAGGCATACAAGGCTGTTGTGAGATTATGCAGGGAGAAAATTAGAAGGGCTAAAACCGAGTTAGAACTTAATCTGGCTACTGACATAAAGCAATAAAAATGTATCAATACATCAGCAACACAAGGAGGGTTAAGGATAATCTCCATCCTCTTGGAGGATGGCTCATGGCTTGGATGGGTGCACTGGTTGCTGGGAAAAAAACTGGTTGGATGACTGGACCCAGAGAATGGTGGATAGAGTTAAATCCAGCTGGTGGCTGGCCACAGGTTGTGTCCCCAGGGCTCTGTTTTGGAGCCAGTCCTGTTTAATTTCTTTATCAACAACCTGGGTGAGGGGATTGAGTGCACCCTCAGTCAGTTTTCACAGGACACCAAGTTGTGTGAGAGCGTTGATCTGCTGAAGGGCAGGAAGGCTCTGCAGGGGGATCTAAGTGAGCTGGATCAATAGACCAAGACCATTTGTATGAATTACAGCGTGGCCAAGCGCAGGGTCACAACAACCCCAGGCAGAGCTACAGGCTGGGGGCAGAGGGGCTGCAAAGCTGCCCTTTGGAAAAGGACCTGGGGTGCTGGTCAACAGCAGCTGAACATGAGCCAGCTGTGCCCAGGGGGCCAAAAATGTCAATGGCATCCTGGCCTGGATCAGAAAGAGTGTGGCCAGCAGGACCAGGGCAGGGATTGTCCCCTCATCTTGCCACCAGTGAGGCCACACCTCAACCCTGGGTCCAGTTCTGGGCCCCCCTCAACAAGAAAGACATTGAGGGCCTGGAGTGAGTCCAGAGAAGGGTTGGAGCACACATCTTATGAGAAGCAGTTGAGGAAGCTGGGATTGTTTAGCCTGGAGAAAAGGAGGCTTACAGGGGACCTTATCACTCTCTATGACTATCCGAGGTTGCAGAAAAGGAGAGGTTTGTTCTCTTCCCTCAAGTAAAAAGTGGTAGAGGTGGTAACGGCCTCAAGGTGTGTCAGGCAAGATTTAGATC